TCAGTTTTACTGAATAGAACAAGAGTCAGAGTCCAACCCAATGCTATAAATTTATAAAGTCCATGTCCAAATAAAAGTCACCATTCAATGTTCTTCATCCTCACACCTAGAAACCAAAGAATTATTGTATTCTTAAAAAGATAATTAGGGCTAATGATCTCAAACTAAAGCAAATGTTTCAGAAACAACACTGAATTGAATTTATAATCTAAAACCTAATAGTATATCATTCCCTAAACAAGGATAAAATACTCACTGAATCAACTGATGTGAACACAGGAAGTTGGCATTTCATGAAATCTCATAAGAAAATAAAGTGTCCAGGACTTCTAATGAAGATTGCATTTAATTTTGCCTAAGCTCTCCTAACATGAAGGTACAGAAAAATACGTGAATAGCAAAATACTCAGTTTTCAAACTTTAGCTAGAGGGAAAAACTCAGTCTGGGAGAAAACATAATCCAAGAACAGAAGGAAATTCCTTCATAAAAGATTTGTAGAAGAGTTTAATAAGAACATGAGTTCAAAAACAAGAAAAAGAGAACAAGAGTTCAATAAAATATCACAAAAATGAGATTTAAGAAAACATGAGTAGATAAAAAGGATAATTGCAGAATTAAAAATACAAATTGACTTAAATAATATTACCCAATATTAAACAGACTTGGCAATAGTCATAGTGCAGTTAGAAAAATGAGATTAAAACAAGAAGTGAGACTATAATTACAGTGTGGAAAATATTTAATAAAATTAAAGTAGCTAGTGTATTGAACAGGGCAGGTATAGAACATTTCCAACATCACTGAAATTTCTGTTAGTCAGGGCTGGTCTAGAAAACAGGAAAACATTTATTCATCTAACATTTAAATTGTTCACTGTATGACGTTTTACAACTGTCAATGGTACACATGATATTTATATCAATAAGGATATATTCTAGTTCAGTGTAGAACAGAAAAATAATTTTAAACCTCAGACACAAAAAATTTTATTGGAAATTGAGATCTTCAGCTTAAAAGGAACATTCAGTGTTACAGGAGAGAAATAATACAAAGCAAGAGATATAGATACAGCCCATTTAAGTTATTAAACTGCAAAGATGAAGAATTATTCACTCATTCAGTCAGAAAAAAGCAAATCACCTACAAGAGTGGAAGGCTTCAGACTTCACAGCATCATTCCCTGTCTAAAGACAGTACAACAGCAATGTCTACCAGCTTTTAAGCTAGTAAAAATATTATGAAATATATACAACCAATGTATTGGTTGAATAAAAAAGTATTTGAAAATATGGTCCATGTATTTACTTCCTCACAGAGCGCTTCATTGACTACACTATGTAAGTAAACATTTCCCATTACTTTGTATTCCTTTCCTCTTTTTTTTTTTTAAGTTTATATCACTACCCTTCTAGAATGTACCTCCATAAAAGCAGAGACTTGGTTTATTTTACTCACTGCTTCATCCCTGGTACCTTCTTGGCACTGTTAAATGAGTGCAGGTATCAATTTTTTAAAAACTCAAGAATGGCAGAACTGTGCTAAAAGCACCCATGGTAAATCCATTTCAAAAAAACCCTAAAACTAAATAACTCTGTGTGGTGCAGACAGGAATGCAATTCTATAAACCTTGACAACACAAAAATAATAGGGGAGAAAACTAAACCTGGGGCTGGGAGAAAGTGCTACATGCTAATTTCCTCATTTTTATAGGAGAGAAGGAAAGAGAAACTGATTTCATTGAAAACTGAAACCCATAAAAAGGAGCATAGTGATTCCAACATCTTAATGTGCTTCATAATCACATTTCTAATTTTAGAAGAGAATGTGTCAGGAAATAATATCGCTCAAAGTAAAGAATCATTGATCAGTTCAACAATTCTTTCAATTTTACTTCATTTTTGTTTTATAAAGTAAAATGTTAATTTTTCAAATATTAATAGTATTTTAATATCTACTATTTTGATTGAAGTAGTTTGCCTAGCATATCCATGTATATACATAAGTTTATGCTGGGAATGCTGTTTAATGATTATTGTAGGGAAGTTTGATTTTGTAATTTTTAAAAATTTTATACCTTTGTCATAGCTATATTTTTTTAATTATTTCTTTTCTATGTCTTGAAGCTTATTAATCTTTTTTCCTTCAATGTCTAATCTGCTGTTCCTTCTGTCCAGTGTGTTTTAAAAATCTCAGACATTGAAGTGTTCATCTCTAGAGTTTCATTTGGGTCTTTTAAAAATGGCACCTGGGTGGCTCAGTTGGTTAAGCAACTGCCTTCAGCTCAGGTCATGATCCTGGAGTCCCAGGATCAAGTCCCGCATCAGGCTCCCTACTCGGCAGGGAGTCTGCTTCTCCCTCTGACCCTATCCCCTCTCATGTGCTCTCTCTCTCTCAATCTCTCTCTCAAATAAATAAATAAAATCTTTTAAAAAAAAAGTCTTTCCTATCTATATGCTCAATCTTTATTGAACACATGGAGTATAATTATAATTGATTTTTGTCTTAGTCTAACTATATTTGTATCATTGCTGCATCTCCTTTTTATAGGTCATATTTTCCTGTTCTTTTTCATGCCTGGTAAGTTTTTTATTGGCTCCAGATATAGTGAATTTTAACATGTGGAGTGCTGGATATTTTACATTCCTGCAAACATTCTTGAGTTCATTTCTGGGATTCAATAAAGTTACTTGGAAACCGTTTGATCACTATTAGGCTTACTTTTAAGCTTTGTCAGGTGGAATCAGAGCAGATTTTTTTCTAGGGCTGATTTTGCCTCACTACTTAATGGTCCATGAATTACAAGGTTTCTTTGCTCTGGTTGGTGAGACCATGGACTTTTTCTGGTTCTATGTGAGCTGTAGAAATTGTTTACCTTGCTCCTTTTGAGTGGTTCTCTCACCAGTTTTGGGTAGTTTCCTTATGTCCATTTGCTGATCAGTACTCAAGAGATGCCTCTACAGGAACACCTGGGTGGCCCAATCGGTTGAGTGTCTGCCTTCGGCTCAGGTCATGTTCCCAGGGTCCTGGGATTGAGTCCCATATCGTCTCCTTGCTCAGCAGGGAGCCTGCTTCTCCCTTTGCCCGCTGCTCCCCCTGCTTGTGCTCTCTCTCTGACAAATAAATAAATAAAATCTTAAAAAAAAAAATAGAATTGCCTCTATAGATCTCTGGAGCAGATCTCTCTCTGTGCTCCTCTCTTCCCCTGTATTTTGCCACATGGCCTCCTTGAACTCCTACCTTGTCTCTTCAACTCAAGAAGACTATTGGGTTCCTGTTTTCTACATTCTGCACTGGATATTTCCTTTTTTTTTTTTTAATTCAAGTATAATTAACATGCAGTGTTTTATTAGTTTTTAGGTGTATAATATAATGACTCAATACATTGCCTACTATTGTCAACTCAAAATATATGGCTCTGAGTATTAAGTTAAGGCAATTATTTGACTAAATTCCTATAATCAAATGTTTATTAAGTGCTTAACATGCAGCAAACACCATTCTTTGCATTTCACATTTTTTCTCATTTATTCCTTACAGAAACCCAATGAAATGAATGCTGTTATCTCTATATTTCAGATGATAAGTAGAGACAGAGAGGTCCCATATGTGGTCAAGGTAACCACAAACACAGCTATTAGTGTGTAAAGTCAAGATTTGGACCTAAACCATATGGTTGTAGAATTCAAACTCGTAACCACTATACTGTATTGTACCATATGCCTCACAAATATTTACTTCCATTGAAAACATAAGTTATTTTATATTTTGTAAGATACTAATGCTTTGCTGGGATGATGGATTCAGAGTTTAAATGATATAACTAGGGTGCCTGGGTGGCTCAGTCGTTAAGCGTCTGCCTTCGGCTCAGGTCATGATCCCAGGGTCCTGGGATCAAGTCCCACATCAGGCTCCCTCCTCGGTGGGAAGCCTGCTCTCCCTCTCCCACTCCCCCTGCTTGTGTTCCTGCTCTCGCTATCTCTGCCTCTGTCAAATAAATAAAATCTTTAAAAAAAGAGATTTTATCTGCATTTAAAAATAAATAAATAAATAAATAAATGATATAACTAGTTTCTGATACCAGCATAAATTAAAGTGTGGTTCTGTTTGGAGGCCTTTTAGTAGATAACTGAAATATATGACGGTTAATGTATTTTCCATCTGATTAGTTGACATGATTCTAAGCATAAATTTTGATTTTGCAAAGTAAGAGTTGTAATTTAGACTAATTTATGTCATAGCACAAGATTATGTTTACTAATCCAGCACCCCATGTTATCTTTATGATTTTTACACACACACACACACACACACACACACACACACACACACGTTTTTTATAGCTACTCCCTGGGTCAGCTTCCAGAAAAGAAAAGATAAAATTGGACTTCAGTGTCTCTTTACTTAATGAGATTTTAAATTCTATTTTCATTGTTAAAAGAAGAGACATAGGCTTTCAGGTACAAAACTAACATTTGATAAGGGCAAAATAAATGTCTTATTGTTGTTACTTCACTGATTATTTAGGTGAATGAGTTTTTTGAATTCTAGTATCACAAACCAGTAAACAGATTGCACACATGCCTTATTTTTACCTTGCAGCAGACATAACAATAATTACATGTAATACATAAATGCTAATTCCAGACTTTGCTTTAAGTGTGTGTGTATATATATATATATATATATAGAGAGAGAGAGAGAGAGAGAGAGAGAGAGAGAGAGATCATACCTCTTGTTGCAGTAGCATTTGGTTTTTGATAGTGTAAAAATTTGAATATTTTCTCTAAATTCTAGTTCATTGCTAAAAAAAACTTCACACTATTATATATACCATTTTCCTCTGTTTTAGAAATAGCCATGTTATCATGACTGTATGCTTCGATCAGTTTTGAGGCATCAAGGTCTTGGGAAGTTCTAGTATTGCTAATATTATGATTTAAGAAAATTGTCACATTTTTTAATCACAGATGTTCAATAATGTGTCATTCTGTTTTCTTAGGAACTTCCTGCACCATTACTTGATGATAATTATAAAAAAGACTTAGATGAAGATATATGTAATCATCAAACACCAGACTCTAACATTAAGATGAAAATAGCTTGGCGTTACCAGTTATTACCCAAGATGGAGGCAAGTCAACATACAAATTATTTCTAAAATTTGCAAATGTATTTGTTTTCATTTTATAGAATCTTTTATGGTATACCTGTTATTTTTAAAATGCACTACAATATATATTTTCTTATTGAAATAACTAGATATTTTATTTGTATTTTATCAAGATATTTCTTAAAAAAATAAAATTATGGCAAATTGTTTTTTTACCAAAATAGATTTCACTTCTTCCATAATTTCCATATAGAATCTTTTTTTCTAGGGTTGCAAGCCAGGAAAAGTGAACTCATTAATCTATTTCTATCCGGCTTGGTTACCTGTAAATAATCAGCCTAAGTGGTAATTCTTTGGAATTACTGTTTTTATTCCTATACATTTTCTATCATTATATTTTCAAACTCAGCTATCTGATAACCTCATCTGTCCAGTGTATACTAAGAGATAGGAAGTGAAGGGAAAATTTCTGAGAAAACAAATGTCAGTAAATCTGTCCACTAAAGCTTATGAACTTTGCTCCTGGTGAAGGCTCTGTTCATTTATTAGCTCCTTTATTTGTTTACTTATTTTTCAGAACACTTTAATGTCTACCAGACATCATATTGGTAGAAAAGAGAGAAATTCTAATCTGAATAAGACACAATACCCATAGCCTACCCTTCCATCTTCTACAGTGACATCACTGTTACCTTCCCCAAGGACAGATACGTTTGTAACACTCCTTAACTGTAAATGCCTAATTTGATATATTGTTTCCACTGCCTCCTCCTAAATGCATGGCCGACTGTCAATCATAGAACCCTTCTGCCAAGCCTAGACAACGCCTTAGAATTCTCTGCAATATTCAGGGTGGTCACTACCAGCTAATATGTGAGAGTTAGTATGTGAGGTGAAACCTATTTGTAATTATAAGCCTGCAATATGAAATACAAACTTATTGAGATTGTATATAAGATCTATACAACCTGATCCAAGCCTACTTTTTAGTCTCCTTCTGTGTGAGTGTAAAATACTATATCCACCCATCCTATGAGAGTTGCTCCTTGTAAATTGCTTATATTTCTGCTAGTAATGCTTTTCACTTTCTTATTCACCAGTTCAGCCTTCTCCAAGTGCAAATATTACTACTATGACAGCTTTTCATACATAATTATCTCGTTTCTTATTTTTGTGTCCATAGCTCTTCATGTATTTTAAAGTACTTCTAACATTATTTTATAGGTAATTGTTGCTATAACTCTTTTCTCCATCAGACAGAATTCTCTATGAGGGCAGAGAGCCTGTTTTATTTTCTCTCATATCTCCAGCATCTATATTAATGCCCAATACTCAATAAATATTTGGTGTGTGATAAATGTATTTATACACTTATACAGTCTGCAAATACTGAGTATCACCTGTTTATTAAGTATAAACTATGGTATAATAGGTACATATTAAGCAGTGATAAACTGTTCTAATTTAGATGGGAAAGCTATTTAAATAATAAGATTTTTAAGTGTGATTTAAATGACAGTGAACAAACTACAGACTAAAGCAAGGTTATTTGCAACTGATAGAATAAGGAATAAAATTTCCTTATATACAAAGAACTTCTAAAATGAATAAGGAATAGTCTACCAACCCAATTTTTAAAATGGGTGGAAATATGTAAAGGAAATTTAGGTGGCCCTTAAACATACAAACACAGATGCCCAGCTTCAGTTACAATAAGAGAAATGCAAATTAAAACTGCACTGGCAGGGGCGCCTGGGTGGCTCAGTCGGTTAAGCATCTGTCTTCAGCTCAGATCATGGTCTCAGGGTCCTGGGATCAAGCCCCACCCAGGGAGCTTCTCCCTCTGCCGCTCCCCCTGCTTGTGTCTCCCTCTCTCTGTCAAATAAATAAATAAAATACTTTAAAAAAAAAATGCACTGACCTGCCAGTTTTCTCTTACAGGTTGTCAATAACCTAAAATGTTTGGTGAGACACTAAATTAGCAAGGGTGTGGGGAAACTAGTACTTTCATACTTTGCTAGTGGAAATGTAAATAGGTACAATTTCTGTGGAGGGTGTTTTGGTAGTATCCTTCAGAATTACAAAAAAACACATACCCTTTGATCCTTTTGGGGATTTACATTATGAATATATTTACTCATATGTAAAATGAATATATGATCTATGTATGTAGCATATTTTTAATAACAAAAGATTAGAAATAAACTGAATGTCCATCAGGAAACACTTGGTTAAGTAAATTACAGTATATGTATACAGTTGAATATCATTTCATGTGTATTAAAAAATAGAGGGAAGCTCTGTGTAGCCAGTTGTTGCAGGCATAGCCTAGCTCGGATGTGATTGAGAACTGGGTATAAGGCCAGAATAAATGGAGTTATTCTGCTTAGGAAAATGTGAGTAGAGTGATAGAGATTAAAGCAGACAAGGAATGTCGGACTAGTACTTGAGAACCCTAATGGCAAAGAACTTCATTCATGTCTTTGAGCTGGCAGTTTCATTTAAATTCCTGAGCTTAATGGTGACTCTTTTGTAAAGAGTGACTATATTCTAATTTTTCTACTGGTATGTTCTGAAAGTCAATAATGAACAGAAGTTCTAAGTTAAATTTAGCTTTCTTGTAGAGACAATATGCCAGTCCAGTTGTAGTTATATAAATCACTTGCATCTTGCCTTTACTTTATTTTCACTCTAATCTCAGCTATGTTTTAGTTTTTTCACTGGTCACTAACATTTTTCAGGTGAAATTGTCAATGAAGATGCAAATAACTGAAACTTTAAGCCTTTTATTTTTTACTGCTTGTTACAAAATCTGTTTAAAGTTGGGGCAAAAGTTCTTTGTTTCTTATATTGTTTCTTTATATATTATAATTACGAGTGCTATTCCTGGCCCCTTTACTTATAAGTGAATAGTCCTTATTCCACTCTTCTTTCTAGAGTGTGGTGTGCCTGCAGTTGTTCTGATTTTCTCTATGGAAGTAAATTTCTCAGTGGTCACATATTAACACATAAACCCTTGCTCTTCTTTAAAATGATCTTTCCCAGATGACTTACTCTCCCATTTTCTTGAGTTCTCCGCTAAAATATCACTTAATCGGGAATGTGTTCTTTTCTCAGTCTCTACAAAAAAAAAAAAAAAAAAACACTCTCTCTCTCTCATCTCCTTTCACTGTCTTATTTTTCTTCAGGGCATTTATCATCACCTACCAGATAATATCATCTATCTCCTCCTACTAGGCTGTGAGCTCAGTGAAAGAAAGGGGTTTCAAATATCTTGTTTTACTGGCATATAGTGGGTGCTCAATAGTTATTTGTTGAATATATGAGTGAATGAATTATATAGTATGTGAATTAAATGCAAAACTGAGTTAAGTTGCATTAATTAATACAAGTAAAATAATAGCTTATTTTGAATGTACTGTCAGTGGTCAAACTTAAGTTTATTGGTATTTGTAAGTGAACTCTGTCAAGTTTACAAAATAGAATCTTCTGACTTCTTTGCTTTTCTTTGAAATGTCACCATCATGTATATTTGCCTGTCACAGAAATTTTATACATGAGGATTTGTCAAGACTGATATCATCTACTTTATAAATCTAGATTTTACTTTGCCATTATTAGTTTAAAAACAACAAAACCCTGGGTTTTCTGTGTTCTACCTGAGACAAAATATAGTTAAAACTGTTATGAGCAAAGATTAAACAAGTAGTCCAAAACTAGCTTTGTCATTTTTCAGAGATACCTTTTATTGTAAGTTGCCACCAGTTCCCAAGAGTGTAGTCACATTCCCACTTAGGGAATGCAGACAAGGATAGGAATACGCACACCTAAGTCAGTAACAGTAGTTCAGTAAAGTATAATGCAGTGCTGCTTCTAGTTGGAGAGGTGTGTAGTTTTACAAAGGCCCCCTTCCCTTGGCCTGTGATTTTGATTTTCTCTCTTAGGTGGGTCTGTTCTTTTTTTCCCTATCCAATCGTCAATCCTATTCCCTTTTCACTCCAACAATTGGTAGCTTACAACATATTCTGAGACCTAATTTCTTCAATATTGTATATAGTTCTATTACCAAAGCCTACAGTGGCTCTACCACTTCATGGTAGTGTATTAGATCTTTATTATATTAAATCCTCATTACACTTTGGCTTTCTGTCTTAGTGGTTCAGCCACAGTAGTCCTTCTGCTTGATGTGTGCATATTGCAGGTGACAACAGATACCATTTTTCGAATGAGGTAATTACAAAGGATAGTGGTAGATCTTCTGATTCTCTAGTGAATCATGATACAGTAATAATACCATTTATGTAGTGCTTTACAGTTACAGAATATTCATTGCCGGTATTGCATTATATTTTCACAACAGCCTAACAAAATAATTATTGGTGGTTAAACTGAGGCTCAAAGTGGTTAGTTAACCATTTGGGTTTTTGCTTTCTGTTATGCCGTACTGAGAAACAAGAAATGATAACAATAATAAGAAAATGTCTTATTTAGACTGTTTATTTGTGGTGCAGATTTTGTCTGAAAGTTTTGTTTCTTTCTAACATACTGAAGGTGAGGGATGGTATTGTTTTATTGTTCTGTGCTCTTTCTGGCCCTTCATCAGAATTAGTTTTTCCTTATCATAGTAAATTTTTACTGAACCATTCCATTATTCTGTGTTCCACAGTTGACAGAGGTAAAGGTTAGTCTGTGACTGTGAAACGGAAGTTTTTAAATGTAAAACTAAAGCAACATGTTCTTATCAAACTGAGTAAAACTGACTAGTTATTGATGATATTTTGATTTTTTTAATGTGTCTTTTTTTTGTGGAGTTGACAGTTTTTTTGTAGAGTATTATCAGACTTAAAGCATTTAGTTATCTTTTTTCAGAGAAAATATTTGAAGTCTTTGTTTTATAATTCTAAGCCTCAAAAGATTTCACAGGATTTTTAAAAATCTGATTACATTTTAATGCTTTGTGTTTGGGGTAGAAAAAAAAACCTTACAAAATTGTTTTTCCTGTAAGGGTATATTTATTTTTCCATTTTCATTTTTATTGAAGGATTAAAGCTTTTCAACATTAATAAAATTTGTATTGTCTACCTGGTGAAGATTTTAGTTGCCATATTTACTCTTAATTTCTAAAAAAAATTAATAACTTAATTGTAATAAGAAAAGCTTCCAAATTTATTCTTACATTTTAATGAATTATTTGTGTTCTATATGTAAACTGTCACAGCATGAAATCAATTTTCTGCCTTGATTCATCCCAAATCTGAGATTTCTATCACATTAATATTATAATTAGAAACATTAATAGAGACGGCAACTTAAAAAGCATACTTTGCTTCTTGGCAATTTAGCATATTTCTCTGAGTGCCCAAGACTTCAAGAACCTTCAGTGCACTAATAAATTTATTAACTCAAACTTAAAAGAAGCGAAAAGTCTCTCTTTCTTTCTCTCTCCCCATGGCCAGTCTGCTAAAATAGATTATTCATGCTTATTTGATTCAGGTAGGCTTTTGCAAGCTTCCCTACTAGGCCTGGGAATGTGGTACATTGAGGCCTTTTCAGAGGCTTCTGACATAGACCAAGCTTTTATTGCATGGTGTTTTATTATTACCAAATCCTAGTCTCCACCCAGTTTGTAGGCACTCTGCTTATTCTTTTGAATCAGGAAAGGTTATCACCTACCTTAATCCATGGAGCAGCGTGGATTAAGGACACCAGTGTGCCCCAGGATTCTCAAAGAGGATCCTGGAAACTTCTTGTTTCTTCTTTTTTGCTTGTCTTTACTAAATTCTATTGGGCCTTAGGAGGATTTGCATCTGAAATGGGCAACCTGGTGTTTTTCTCAATGAAGACATCAGATCAAAGTTCAGTTAGTCAAGGCCTTTCTAAAACATTAAGGGGGCTTGGACTTACACAATAAAAAGATGAGCTCTAGCAGAGATTGCAGTAAAAACATTCTGAACTATAATCCGGATAAAGAATAGATTATAGGCCAAAGAACAGACCTTGTTTAAATTGCTTTATACTAATAACTTTGCATTTAAAAACTTTACCCTATTTTTAAGAAACGTACTTTAATATCTCATAATTTATTTGTTAATACTGCCATGGTAAATAGATAAATCATGTTTTAGGAACCATACTTGTATGTATATTGTATTGAAAACATTAGGTTGAGCTGATTGATAGGTCTCTTTCATTAATGAAAATAAACAGTGTCTTACGGAGGGGTGAACAGTCATTTTACTTAGAAAATAAAGGCCAAACCCACAGACTCTGAATCTGAGAATACTATTTCTATTAGACTTCAATTATTTTTATTTTATGTTACGGTATAATTTTATGTTGCTGGCATCCAGTTTAAGAATATTAATCCTTTAAGTCTTAAAATGCAAATATCTAGTGTCAAGGAAATGTCGGTTTATCTAAATTACAAAGTTGTCAGTTACTTAGTAAAATAAAGAACTCACTCCATAAAGTTCTTCTGTTTCTGCAGATTATCTGCAGATTATCTGTTTTGTTGAATGTTCTGAAATTTGTCTGTTTTGTAGTGTTCAGGACAGTGAAAATTATGTAAATTTAGATTAGAAACTATTGCCAGGTGGAATCTGTCAGTAGTTCAACTCTGGACAGAGGTGTATGTATATTTCTAATATGTTGAATCAGCACAGAGTCCATTCAAAGCAATATAATGAGAATGTTCTATTACTAGGCCTTTACTATCCTGTGTAAGTAAATTCAGCATCAATAGTTACTAGAGTTTCTTATGAGAAAGATAGTTTGTTGGAGAAATTGATAATAGCACAAAAGAGGAAGTATCAATGAACTAATGTTATGTCAGGTTTCTGATTTATCTAATGTAGTTTGTATACATTCTCCCTTTTAAGCACGTGCCTTGTTCCCAACGGGAATACCCAAATACATTTTATACTATAAGTTTAATTTTAAATTTGTAAGAAATTTTGAATATATATATATATATACACACACACACACACTGTCTTGTGAGAATTTAATTTTTAAATCATGCTCAGTTTAATATATTTAAATAGCTAGTTTCTTTTGGGCCCCTCACCAATGATTTCATTGGCTTAAGTTTTCATTAGTTCTTAGCAATTCCATATTTAATTTGTCATTTAAACCTGGAACCTTTAAAAAATACTTAAGACATGTATATTAAATTTTTTTAACTTAGGAAGGTAGACAGTAAGAAAAGCAAAGAAGTGTTTGAATTCTTATCAAATTTAGGGAACCACTAGCAGCCAAGAAACATGAGAGAGGAAAAGGTTAATTTCTAAGTTATCATTTAAAATAATAAAAGTTGTATGCTTCTTTCAAATTTAGTAAGTCCGTGTATATAAGCTCTTCCTGTCAGCATTAAAATGCACAAATATATCAGTATTTTTCTGAATGTAGTTCAAATACACTGTAGTTTAAAAAAAAAAAACACGGTAATTTTTTAACAACCAATATGGCTTTTCTTAACAGTCTGGACCAGTATCTTCTTCAAGATTTGGTCACTATTATGATGCATCAAAAAGGATGCCACGCGAACTAATTGAGACTTCAAAATGGCATGGATTTTTTTTTCCAGAAAAATTATCTTCAACTCTTAATAAAGAACCATGGTAAGTTAATGGATTAATTCTGATTTCACAGGTTAACAGAATGCATTTTTACCACATTCTTTGAAAGAACGCATAACCAAAGGTACATATCCTAATCATTGTTTTCTATATAATATGTAACCTGAATTGTACATATGTTTCATAATATTTCTTTATATGTGGTTTTCTTTTTCTGGTCCTGTAACTGTTGGATGTGCTGTTTTTCTTAATTTGCAGTTTGAAAAGTCTGGATACCAAAAATATAATACCTGCTCTTTTTATTTTCAAGAAAATGTGGAATAGTTTTTAAATCAGGGTCTTTTAGCCCTAAATGCAGATAGATATCTAAATACTACTTACTGATAATAATAGCAGTGAAAATAGTATGAAGTACTGCTGTTTTTCAGTAAGTGTTATTTCAGAAATAAACAGAAAGTGTATGTTTTCCAATATTTTATTTATTAAGGCTTTCTATTTCTAGTTATTCTGTAAATACAGCAATCTGTATTTTTTTAGGTTGCCTTAGAAGAATTCAGAGGTTTTTTTGAGTTTATCATGAAGAGTTTTAAATATTAAACCAACACATGCTTATAGTGCTACTAACTTTATTAAGGTAAAACTCTGTCAATTACAGTACTTGACATTGAATAATTTATAAAGTGTTAAGAATATGTAGTTTCAATTCTTACTGCAGTTGAATCAAGGAAAGTAATCCATGAAATAGGTTGTTGCCTCTCTTTTCTTTCATGTTGTAAAACAGTTATTTTCAAAGTGAGATGAGTTATTACATGGAGATTTAATTCAGTAAGTTGTGAACTGAAATGACTTACAAATCTAGAGTCTCTTTCCAGGAATATTACTTGAGAATTTCGTGAAGACTATCCTATTTATTGTTATTAAAGCTCTTTCAAAAAACAAAAAGTCTTCACTTCATTATGGTTTCTCCATTCTGTGGCTTGAGACTTACCAAAAGTGGTGCTTTGATGTCTTAGTGTTAATAGCAACCATTAATGAATGACTTCTGTGTGTGTCGGTCACTCCGCTATGTATTACATTTGTTACCTAGTGCAATCCTTGTATGAATCTTAACAAAGTATGTATTCCCCTTTTCCAGAAGATACTGAAATTCACAGAAGTTATTTATTTGAGGCTCAACTATTAAGTGATAGAACCAGGATTAACCTAAATCAGATCCCTCTCTTTTTCCTTTACTGCTTCAAGAGGCATTGCTGTCCTTTGCCTTTACCTTCCTATGTTATGAAGGAAAGAGCACTGATAAAGAAATAAAGAAATGTGAGTTCTGACTGAGTCCATCCTACCGTTAACCTTGGGAATTCCCTTAAATTCAGTGAAAATAAATATCTGTGAAAAATTGGGGTAGGGGGATACCATTTGTCCTACCTACATCACTAATATTTTGTTAAGTTTGAATGATTATATTGATTATACTATAATCAATATATCAATCGTATTAATTTTTGCCATTCACTAAACCAGACATACATATACTTTTATGGCTTGGGAAATAATTTCTCCTTGATTTCTCAAGTAGTAAATGGTGGAACCCAAATTCAAAGTCAGTTCTTTCTGACTCAAAATTCTGTTCGCTATAATGCTATATTGCCTCCATTCATGGAGTACTTAAGGAAATTTAAAAAATATAAAGTGTCTATTAAGTATAATGTAAGTAAATAAAAAATGTGTTACTTTTGTAATTAATATTTTAAGAATAAAACATATTTAGGGGGACCTGGGTGGCTCAGTTTGTTAAGCATCTGCCTTTGGCTCAGGTCGTGGTCCTGGGGTCCTGGGATCGAGCCCCACATTGGGCTCCTTGCTCAGTGGGGAGCCTGCTTCTCCCTCTCCCTTTGCCTGCCACTCTGCCTACTTGTGCTCTCTCTCTCTGCCAAATAAATAAATAAAATCTTAAAAAAATATATGTTTAAAAAAAAGAACAAAACTTTTTTAAGCCCCAAAGTACAAGGGTTTTGTTCATTCATTCAGCAACTAAAAGAAGGAGGGAATTAACATTTGTTAAGAATACGTGTTCCATGTCAGGCACTGTTCCAGGCATTTGACCATAGGATATTTCATCTGCTCCTCCCACAACCCTGAAAAGTAAGTAATATTATCCCCATTTTTTAGGAGCTTGATGTCAGGGATGCTAAGTAGCTTTCCCATTCTTTCAGGCTGTTAGTGACTAAGTCTCTGACCCAAGCCCAAGTCTTCAAAACCTCTGCTTTTTATTCTGGGCCAGGCTGCCTCCATTTGCTGTTGTAGTAAATGGACAGCACGTGAAGCCAGGTGCCAAGAAAAACTACACCTTGAGCAACCATGAGAATATAGTCCTATAGTCTTTAAAATATGTGTTTTTTTTTTCCAGAGTGTTTTTTGAGAACTAGCGGTTTTGCACAGAATAGGAAAATTTATAGATTTTAATTATCAAGGCAATATTTCATTTCATAGCAGTTAACTGATAATTCATTTATTTCATATAAAACTTAAATGCTTAATTAAATGTAATTAAACTTTAAACATATAATTAAATTAATTTTGAAAATGAGTACTTACCATGTGAGATTTAATTTATGAAAAGCATGTGCTCATTTCACTAAAATGAACTTTACTGGTTCATTTAGAAAACAATAAAGCTAAGCTTTACAGTTGTCTATACTTTTCCTGTAATTAAGACTGGAGGATATAGCTGTGTCCCCCTATCATATGTGAGGATATAATATATAATTTCACATATTCTAAAGGCACTGTTGAAACATAAAGTTTTTTTATGGTAAGAAAATGGCAGGTATGCCTATAGAAAATGTTCGTACATATAATTTAAACTTTCAAATTAAAGCCTGGCTATAAAAACCTGAAAAGTATCACTCTAATATTACCAGATGGTTTTAATATTTCATTGTCATAAATCAGATAATCTGAGTCACAGAACAGTGATAGGAAAAATGATTTTGAGAATAATTCCGTAATTTAAGATTTTTTTTTTTAATTTGGCATTGTTTTGAATTAAGCTTTACTAACAAGTATGCAAGGACAATTCTCTTTTCCTCAGGAAGCTAATGCAGATCTTCAGGGTAGGGATAGTATCTCAGCTTTCTTATTTATTAACAAATCTAACATACTGCTTAACCTACTGTCACAAACTGAATGTTTATGGTTCTGCCCACCACTCTCCCCTACCCCAAATTTATATGTTGAAGCCCAGTGTGATGATATTTGGAAATTAGGCCTTTGGGGGGGTAATTAGAGTTGGATGAGGTCATGAGAGTAGGACCTGGGTCTGATAGGTTTGGTGTTCTTAAAAAGAAGGAAAGATACCCAGCTCCTCTTTCCTTGAGCACATGTACATGAAAGGCCATGTGAGCCACACAGCAACAAAGTGGCCATCTGTAACCCCACAGGAGAGTTCTCAGGAGATGCCAAACCTGCTAGCACCTTAATCTTAGACTTCTAGTAGTAGTAAATAGAATGAATTTGTTTTGATATGTTTCTTTGAAATAAAAGATTTTATTTTTACATGGATATCCTAAAATATGGTTAGTAGTTTCTAACCAAAAGTTTTGTATTAATTACGTTGAATGAACTGAATTCCGAAAGAACCAGTTATCTTTTTAGGAGAATATCTAGGAGAAAACCAACAGAAAGAGGATAAGAATTTTACTTAAGATTTTAGAAGTCATTCCTTTTTCTTATTTTGCCAAGTCTGTTTACCACTTAAATGGAACATCTGTATAAGGCTTCTGTAATATTTTCCTAGACAAATTATAGTTATGACCCTCCATACATTCCTACTTACTTTTGTTCATACTCTGTCAGAACATTTAGCACATCACACTATAATTATTTGCCTTGTCTACATTTTTATCATTTTTATCTTCCCTCTCAAGCAGTGGAAATCCTTGAGGAAAGCGGTTTATGCTATCTTCATCTCTTTATTCATGAATCTAGGACACAGGTGTTGAGTTGACAGTTGATGAACTAATGAATCAATGCACAAAGTATAGTAATAACTCAGATTAACTATAGCCTTGTTCGTAGCTCAGAGATTTAGTGGGATAAAACTAATAACTAAAACATAGCCATGTAAGAGTAAATTTTATTTTTTTTAAGATTTTATTTATTTGTTTATTTGACACAGAGAGAGAGATAGCAAGAGAGGGAACACAAGCAGGGGGAGTGGGAGAGGGAGAAGCAGGCTTCCCACCGAGCAGGGAGCCCAATGTGGGGCTCGATCCCAGGACCCTGGGATCACGACCTGAGCCGAAGGCAGTCGCCCAACGGCTGAACCACCCAGGCACCCCAAGAGTATATTTTGTTTTGAAAATACAGATCTCTTATTTGAGAAGCAGCCATAGTATATTTAGAAGCTACAAGTAGAAACTCATGAGAAAGGAATTTTGCAAGAGAACTTCTAGGTAGGACTAAAGGTTTGGAACAGCAGTATGCTAAACTACTTTATTAAGAAGATTAAAAGTGAATGAAATAGTAATACAAATCTTGGAGCTGAGTGCAAGGCAAGATGTAAACGTGAGGAGAGATTTTACCCATTGGCCTGTCTGCTAGTGATATGATTAAAGTAAAAAGAAAATATCTAAAAATTTTGAGAGAGAACTATTAATCCTAAACCTCATTTTAACCAATGAAAAGAAATTACTTGCTTACGTGTTTGCCTTTCTTCTTTTTCTGTCCTCCAAGGGGGCCTTTGGGTATGCAGAAATTAGTTGCTCATTCTGGCATGCTATCTTCATTGGTATGCATTTGTTTTATTCCCTGCCTGATTCCTACATTCCTAATCCCAGTCATTGTCCCCTAGACATACTTTCTCTTATTAATGCAACATTGTAATTAGTTCTTCCAAATTTTATTCTTCCTTCAATAAAGTAATCTTAGACCTTTGACTCCTCTCTCTCACTCCCTTCATCCAACCTATCAGCAACTCCTGATATTTTTATTTTTTTTGTTTTTATTTAAATATCAGTTAGCTAATATACAGTGTAATATTAGCT